ACTATAAGCTTGACAGCTGTGCCGTCTATTCTGAAAGGGGTTGATGAGATGCAATGGGCTGTTAAGCTAGGAGGGGAGATTAAGAAGGCTTTTTGGAGGACTTTATACTTAAGGAGAAATCTGTATGAACTGGGCCAACTAACTTAGGTTAGACTCATTGCTTATGCAGAATCTGGAGAATATGGTTAATGAGATGCTCAAAGGAAGCCAGTGTGGTAAGGTGCTAAGAGCTAGGGGAATGGCACTTGAGGAGGCTGGAGAAGCAAGGCTCTGCTGGTTCATGTTCAGGATTTGGGTTGCCTCCTGAATAATGTTAACACTGTAGATTGGATAAGAAAGCTATAAATAAATAAATAATAGATAAATGAGTAAGTTTTGTTATCATTGAAGCATAAGAATAAGAGTGATAGCAGTTCCTTAAAACAAGAAATAGGCCAAAGATGTGTTGGTTTGTTGTTATTTTTGAAAGCCTAAATCAAGGGGTCTGGCTCATAGATGGATAGCCGTAATTTTTAATGGAGTTGAGTTGCTAGGGTAGAAGGATATGTCATCAAACATAGTGGGTGTGTTGGCTCAGTAATGATTAATGACATAATTGTAAGAGATCATGTGCATCTTTTTAGAGAACGAATGGATATCTTTTGTATTAGAATCAACTGGAAAAGCCAAGGTTTAGAGATGAGGAAGCTAGGTTGATGGAGTATACCATTGATACACAGGCAACGAGGGTTTTTTTTTTTGTTTGTTTGTTTGTTTTTACAAATGGGGACAACAAGGTAGTAGAAAGATAGTAGGAAGCAAGAAGAAATTTGAAAAGGCTAGTTCAGTGGTCACTGCAGTTGCCCTGGCAGCACAGATAGTAGAGGTAAGATTGATTTGGATGAGAAGAGATAAGCTGCCACCCCCTGTATGCTCTCTGGTCCCAAGCATAGCAGTAGTTTCTTTCTTTCCTTTTTTTTTTTTTTTGGCTCTCAAAGGAAAAGAATGCACAGTGGTACACAGGCTGAGTAAATAAGGAATCACGTTTTATTTCAGCCCTTAAGAAAGCAAAATTAGAATACTTCCCTCCAGAGTGGCGAACACACCAATCTGTATAAGCAGCCTCAAATAAAACTGCATCTAGTGTCTGAAGTTACAAGTCTCCGTCTATCATTTCCCCTTCTCTTAGCCACCCCTGGTGTGGTGTGGGCTGGGCTCCTAAATAGGCAGAGGCTTTCTTAGAATCTGTCCTTTCTTACAGTTCATTCTGTTAGTTAGATGTATTAGATGTTAGAATATGTTTAAAGATGTAGCTACTCAAAGTTGAGAAGATTACTAGGAGAAAGGACAACAGTGCACATGCTCTTGGAGGTTCTTCCAGAGGAGCGTGCTGAGACCGTCTCTGCTGTTTTCCCTACCCCTGTACTTCTTCTTAATAGGTCAGCTTGGGTATCTCCTATTCCTTAGCAAGCCCTCTTATTTACTCAGTGTTTTAACCTTACCATTCCTTTTCATTATATCAGAACCAAGACAGTGTTGATAGAGGGAACTAGACAAAATTGAGAGACATTGAGAGAGAATGATGGAAAGTTGGTGATGCTTTGGATGTGTAAGGAAGGCGAAAAGGAAGAAAGATGTTCGTGGTTTTGTTAAGAGTTGTCACATGCATTCATGCACACACACAAACCACCACTACCACCACCAAACAGTTCTTTTAAAGATGAGAGGAAGTTTTCTCAGGTGAGGTGCCAGAAGCTTACATCAGTGCTCTTAATTTAATTTTTTTTTAATTCCTAGTACAAAAGTCGTAATTATGGTAGAACTGTACTAATCTTCTGGACTGCCAGTTTCTACCTTGTAAGTAAGAAAAGGAATTGGTTGTACCTTAGTTGGTGTTGTTCTTATTGCACTGTAGTAAAACAATTCTGAGTCACCTCCTCCTCCTTCTGGAGTTCATATTGGCGCAGTAACCCAAACCCACACCATTGTCAGGCGCCCGACTGGGTTTGCCCTAAGATGCTCCAAGTTCACCTAGCTTATTCGCACCTTTCCTGTTTTTCCCTATTCTCACCTTGCTTCTATAGAGTACAGTTGTGTGACCCTGGACCTTTTCTTTCTGAAAAGGAGAGACAGAAGCAAGGCTTCAAAAGTTGTGATGGTGGCCCCTTTCTAACTCTGAAGGTCAGCCTGGGTCTTCTGTGTGCACTTTGTGAACATTAATTATAATGCTTCAGTATGGGCTGCTGAGGTAAAGCTGGGCCCAGGGAGTTTGAGGCTGAGGGAGAATGAGAAGCCAAGTTTTTTTTTTTTAACTTTTAAAAATTTTCTTTATTTTTTTTTATTTATTACAATTTATTCACTTTGTATCCCAGCTATAGCCCCCTCCCTTCTCCCCTCCCAATCCCTCCTTCTCTACCTCCCTCCCTCTTCTCCTCCCATGCCCCTTCCCTAGTTCACTGATGGGGAGGTCCTCCTCCCCTTCCATCTGACCCTAGCCTATCAGGTCTCATCAGGATTGGCTGTAGAGAAGCCAAGTTTTAACTGCATCACAGGATGCTGAGCCTGGGAGCCACAGGTCCTACATCAACTCATTGCAAGTCAAATTAAGGGAATAATACAAACCTAGTAGATATTTAATGAGAGATTATTTCTGGAGATTATAAGGATACAGAAATTGCAAATAAATCCCTGACCTTTTCTGAGCCTTGGCTCAGTGAATGAGCTGCATCACCTGCTCAAGGGGATTAAGACAGCCACATCCATCTGGCAGGCTACTTTCTCAGTCATTTGCAAACTCTGCTCCCTGGCAATAGTGTTCCAGGCCTTTTAATGGGAATTCACTTTGCAGACTAGATCTCAGTTGCTTAGATTATGAACCTAGTGGGCCAAAATCAGAAGTAATGTTCCACTTATGTATACAGTAGAGTCCCTGTCACATTAGTGACACTTAGTCCAAGTTAAATAGGATGTAGTTGTTAATTATTAGCAACCCCATCATGATGTCAGCAGGAAATTCAAGTTGATGAGCGTAGAAGCCAAACTGTGTGTGCGTGTTTATGTTTGTGTGTGTGCATGTACGTGTGTGTAAGGGAAGGAGACAGAGGACAAAGCGACAGATGGAAAAAGTGCAGGAAGCCGCCGTGCACTAATGTGTATCAGCTCTAGTTTAGACGTTCAGAACAGAGCTTGCTAAATTGTATTTATGAGCGCTTGAGAATCTTGTTTGATGTGGGTTCCATTTCTTAACATAATTTCATCTGTTTACAAAATGAGGTAGTTAACACAGACAACTGTAATAAATTAGGCTTAGCAGAGGTACCTTGAGCTCTCGTTTGGCTCTGCAGCATGTAAATGCTATGTACATTTGACAACTAAGATACACTGATAAAAACAGCATTACCTATGTGAACTGTAAGGCTTTTTAGTTTAACATCAGTATAAAGGAGATTTCCTTGCTTTTAAGAAACTGGAGAAATTGTACCAGCACAGGGAAAAACCAATCTGAACATTGAGTGGGTTCTTTGCCATTAATACACACACACACACACACACACACACACACACACACACACACACACACATATAATTTAAGTTGGTAGAATTTAATTTTTTCTGATATATCTGGAAAATTCCATGGCATTTTTTTTCTTCCTTGTACCGCTTGCCTAGGAAAGACTCTCACTTCCTAGTTGGCCTCTAAGCACTGGGGCTTTCTCAGTTGCCAAGTTCTTTCCAAATTTCCAAAACTTTTGTTGATGTTTCTGGGGTAAGGAAGTGTCTTTTGTCCGAGATGAAGTTCATCTATGTTTAGAAGGAAACAGTGTTCACAAGCCTGCTCTTAAAACACCCGTGTTCAGAATCCATCTCAACAGCCCCCAGAGTTCCATACACAATGGTGGGTCCCCAGACTTCTGAGCACCATGCCTTTGAAAAGAGACTTGCAAGTACTTCTCTAAAGAAAGAAGTAAAGGTTTCTGATGACTACGGGGTGACAGTCATAAATAGCTTGGAAAGTTTCTTATGCACAAAAAGATAATTCTCTGCCTGACAAATACTTCCCCAGTGGCTGGCAGCATTTTGAATGTTTCATGAAAGAATGAGAGTTGTCCCCCGCACATAAAAAGATACCTAGTGTCCTTATTAATCGGATGCAAACAAACCCCATCAAGAAAGTTCTGACACCACTGGAATGGCTGCAATGAAGAGAGATGATAACTAACGTGGACAGGATGTCCAGGCTGATCAAACTGATTTCGCTCCTGCAAGCTCTGCGCATTGTATTGGTGGATAAGCAAAGCCTGGGGTTGAGGTTTTGTGGATGTCTGACCTCTTTATTGCTACTTATAAAGTAGTTCTCCCCTGGAGGAAATTGTTCCTGTGGGTTGTTTCATGTTCTGAATGGCCTGGTCAGTACTGGGACAGATGGAGGATCTCAGGTAGCTTCTTTGTTCTCAACTGGTTCAATGTTCCTCTGGTCATGTTTCTTTCCTTCATTTCCCCCTCAATTTTCTGCTTTTTCTAGTCACCAGAACAGAATTGTTTTTTTAATTCAAGGTCATATATATAGCAGCTTGGTGATCTGGCCACTTTAGCAAGTCTCCACATGTTAACTTGGCAACTTTGGTCATATTTAGCTTTTCCAAGCCTCAGTTTTTCCACCTGTAATGTGAGGCTAGTACTACTGTCATCAAGAGGATTTTCTGGGAGTACAAGAATTAATCTAGGTAAAGCACTTACCCAGTTTTTTCAAAGCTTTATGTAGATGATGCTGTGCTGCCATTTCTTGTTAGAAAGTGAGGATAGCGCCAAAGTTACTGTGAGAACTAAGCTAATACGTGCTTAGGGTAGGCTCTTTCTCAGTATCACCTATTTCTAAGTTATTATTTCACTTGTATTTCTTTGTCTTCGTATGGGAAAGGGAAGAGGCCTGTGAGCACACGGTGTGGTTGGTTTGCAGTGTGGAAGCCTTACAGTGAGCTGGTTTGCACGCAGGCTTGACCGTATTTCTCTTGTTCTTGCAGCTGCACAGTTGGACAGCATTGGCTTCAGCATAATAAGGAAATGCATCCATGCGGTGGAAACCAGAGGTAAAGTCTACCAGATGGACAGATGGCGTTGTTCTCATGGAAGATCACATATCTATGAGGCAGCAGACCTGCTGCCTGCCGCTTCTGATTTTAAGTAACTCATTAACTCCCCTGGTGCCACTGTCAGTGTTCTTACAGGTCACATTGGTGTGAAGCAGGAGTTCCCCACCTGTTTCATGTCACCCACGTCGTCTCTGGGCGATCATGAGAATGCCTTACATGCATACAAATAGAATTCTTAGGCTTATGGAAACCAGTCTGAAACTCGACTATTATTAAAATGATTGAGAACACAGCTGAAATGGAGCAGTAGATATGCTTCTGTGTTAACAAGTTTGTTCACATCTTACAGTGGAAGGCCTCAGACTGGTATAATCTGGAAACTGAAGCATTGTAAGCATTCTGTAACAGTGTAAAGAGTCATGAAAACTCTGTGAGTTTTGGACCATGCTTCAGGGATTGCTAAGACCACCATGATTTGGCATTCATAAGGGAAGGAAGTGTACAATGTCCGTAATAGTGAAAATAAAAGCTCTTTTCCAGCTAGTTCACAGATCCCTGGACTCTCTCCAGGGATTATCTTAGAGTCTGTGGATCCCAGGTAAGGATCTCTGCTCTGCAGACCTGGATCCGAGAACCACCAAGGACAGAGAAGGAAGGGGTTAGGCACCTGCTCCTCGTTGACATTTCCCAGGTCTGTTGGAGCAGAGCATGAGATAGGGGAGGCTGATTTGCCGCAGTCTATCACAAACCAGAGGCCTTAGTTCTGGCACTAAAGAGTTCGAAGTGCCTGATCCATTATGGCCCTGAGAAAACCTGATAACTATCTCTCCACTGAGAGTGATCAAAAGCAGGAGACCACTATTTATGCCTCAGTGTGCTACATACTTGCACTTTTTATTTGTTTGAAAGAAATTCTGTCTTAAAGCAGAGTTGTAACCTTACTAATGGAGAGGGACACACACACACAGCACACAGGTTGGGGGTGGTCAACAGAACATCTTGAGTTCTTGTGCCTATGTGTCCTGTGAGGGTTCTATTTCCAAAGAACTTACTTTAACATACTGAAGCAGGTTTGTATTTTATTTTTTTTTAATGTTTGATATTTCTCCTCAATTTCCTTCAGCAAAAAAATTAAAACAGGTTGACAACAAATGTACATAAAATATACCCAGAATGACTGGAGAGATGGCTCAGAGGTTAAGAGCACTGGCTGTTATTCCAAAGGTCCTGAGTTAAATTCCCAGCAACCACAAGGTGACTCACAACCATCTATAATGAGATCTGGTGCCCTCTTCTGGCCTGCAAGCAGAATCCTGCATACTAAATTAATTAATTAATTAATTAAAAACAACAACAAAAACAAAACAAAACAACAACAACAACAACAAAAAACCAAAACCCACAACTATATACCCAGAAAATGTCAAAGAGACATAATTGGAAATTAATCTTTGAAAATAAGGTTGTTGGTCATGTTGAGCCAAAAGAACGTTTATATGGTAATGTGGTTAAAATGCAAAATCAGGAACCAATCAAATGCCTTAAAATTTGGTTAAATCAAGGGTGTTTTACTTGTGCAGTAAAAATCTTGTGAATCATTAAAAATAGAAATGTTTTTTGACATCCCACATTTACATGCATTAAGTGAAAAATACAATTTAAAAGTTAACAGCCGTCCCGTCTGTGCTCATTCTGTGACGTCCCCGAGAGGACGCCCTCTGCACTAGTGGTACCAGTGGCTCTCCGTTCGTTCTCTTTTACTTTCCTCTTTTGGTTTTCTATTTGCCTTTGTTGTAATATTTATATTTAAATATAAATATTTTTAAAGAGTTTATATTTCTATGGAAATTTTAAAGAGTTTAAGCTTGTTTTTTATTTTAAAAGAAAAGGATAAAATCAGTGTGTTTGTCTGTAATTCTGCTTTTCAGGAGGTGAAGATTAGACAGTTGGGAGCTAAAGGGCAGCCTGAGTAACAGAGTGAGGCACTGTCTTAAAATGAGGAAAAAAAGGAGAAGGGAGGAGAGTAGTTAGGATAGGCAAAGGCAGAAGCACACATATACAGGCAAGTATACTTGTTTAAGGTGGGCTGAGTGTCTGTCCATTTGAGCAGCCCAAACCAAGAGGAAAACCTATTCCCCAAAACTCTTCTCAGGGTCTGTGACCACTGTAAACAATAGCTTGTAAACCTCATCGGCCACTGTAGGAAGTTCTGAGTAAATGTTATGTACACGCAGGAACCCACTGGAAGGTATTAAGAGAAGTCCTATGAACTCACTTTCACAGTAAGAAGTTCACAGAGGAACTGGAGAAGAAGCACACCAGTTCCTGAGAGGTACCAGATGTGATAGACTTGGGCCAACAAGAGGAAAGCCATTTTCAGTCACTCAGTCTAAATTGTCCCTGTTGGAGTTGAGGAGATAGATAGATAGATAGATAGATAAAGCATAAGGCCTTGAGTTTGATCCCCCAAACCCAGTAAAAATGCTGGGCATGGTGACACACACTTGTAATCTCAGTACTTGAAAAGCAGAAACAGGAAGATCCATAGGGCTCACTGGCCACCCAGGGAAGCCAAATTTCTGAGCTCTAGCCCAGTGAGAGAGCCTGTCTCAAAGGAGGTAGATGGTATTCCCAAGAATTTGAGGTCGTCCTCAGGCCACCCTATGCCTGTGCACACATACGCACCCACACACGTGGACAGGCATAAACCACATGCATTCACACCTGCATACAGATTGTTTCCTGTTGTAAGTGGCATGGCGGCACTCTAATCCATGCATTTCAGTGAACAGAAGTTCTGTAGTTTGTGTTCCATCTTTGTTTAAGTATTTCCCAATAAATACCTTTGCTCTAACTGTGATGGATTTTCTGATTTCTCAGTCTTGACTAACATTCCCTAAGATGGAAAATGTTCTTACACTTCAGTATTTTTATGCTATGTGTAAAAATAGATGGAAAGTTATTTATCTTCTTCTGTGAATGATTTTTTTTTTTTCTTTTAGTCATTCTACTTTGGACTTTTGAATGTAAGAAACGGTTAAAAACTACTTCTTTCAAATAATGCATTTTGCATCTTTAAAAATCTTCATCTGCCACTTTTGGCAAGAGAGGAGGGAAGTTTCTCTCCCAGTGAGGACCTGGCTAAGGTGAGGACTGGAGTGTTCAGCACATCCGTCAATCCTCGACAACTGTGCCAAATCCCACTCCTTTGCTAAGAGCTGAGCTGAGTGGCAGGGGACTTTAATTATGGCAGCTTTTAGAAGGACAGAGAAAATGAGGGAAAAATAGAGGAGCATTTGGCCTTGTCGGCCTGACTCGTGTTCTGATGCTCATCTAATTAAATCATCTTTCTTCTCAGGGATCAATGAACAAGGACTCTACCGGATCGTGGGGGTCAACTCCAGAGTGCAGAAGTTGCTGAGTGTCCTGATGGGTGAGTACAGCAGTGGCTGCCCCAGGCAGGTCCCTTGGGCAGCCTAATCCAAGGTTTCCTGGTTTCTAGGTAGCTTCTGGGGTAGGAATCAGGGTATGGAAGTGCCAATGCCCAGAAATCTGCCCTGCTTGCTAGGTGTGGCTGTGGGCATTAAGAGGAGAGGCTCTGAGGAGGCCTCCGTAAGAATAAAATAAAATGGCAGGGCCAAGTACCACACCCAGTCCTCAGGCTCTGTGCCCCCGTCCAAGTGCCAATTGGTCACTCATGTGACTGCCACACCATATCTGTCTTTAATAGCTCATGACTCCCTTTGTCCTCTTTTGAGGCAGGCCTTCAGTAGGACACAACCCATGTCCAAGAAAGGGTATCTTTCTAGCCCAGGAGGACCTTAGGTCCTCATGTTCCTAATACTGAGGGTGTCATGTAACTCTCAGATAAAATGTATATATGCAAGATCTCTCTTGCTTCTAGATTTCAAGCCTTCACTTGATCCTCTTTCCCTGGCTGATGTATAAATAGAAAGCCACTACCTCCAAATGTGCAGTGTTTGAATCAAAATTCATGAGACGAAGTTGCCTAGGCTGCAGATATCCTGTATTTTTAGCTATGCAGCCAGCTTCAGTGAGTCACATGGATCTAAATGGCAAACAGATCAAATTTCATCCATCAGTGGCCGTTGTCTGTGTCCACAAAAGCCCTAGCCTGGTACTTCGGAAGATTAACTCTCATTCAGGCCTCTCACTTGGCATTTTAGGCAAGGGCCTTTCTCTTGTATTTGTCACTTCTTCTGTTACTCTATTTTTTGAAAATAGCTTTCATATGTGCAGAAGTCTATTCCTTTATATGGGCCAGAACGCGCTACCCACTGCTGTTGTCAAAACCCCACAGTATTATGCGTTACGCTGAGGCCTGCTCTTTGAAACCACAGTGTCTGTGAGGCTCTTCTAGACTTATTTTCTACTTCTAAGTTCAGATGTGGGATACAGTTAGGCTTTTTAAATTATTTTTAATTTTTTGAGATGATTGTGAGGTACACATGCATTGTAAGAAATAAGGGGTCTTTTGTACCGTCTACCCAACTTCCTCCATTGATAGCATCTTACGAGGCTGTATTTCCGTATGACTGCCAAGCTCCTGACATTGCTACAGTCAAAATGCAGTATTTCCACGCCCATAATGACCTTGTGATACCCTTTTATGTCTACTCTCTGCCTTACCTCCTCACACACACAATCTCTGACCCTGGTGACCAATAGTCTATCCCTTTTTTTTTTCTTTTAATTTTATCACTATGAAATTACTTGTCATATAAATGCAATAATAGAATATGTAAGTTTGGGCGGTTGAGTCTCTTTCTTAGCAAGCTTAATTATTTCTAGAATTAAACAACTTGTATGTATCATTACTTGTTAATTTCTTAACTACCAAGTAGTATTCCACTGTATGGGCATACCACAGTCTAGCCATTCATTTGCTGCAGGGCTTCTGGGGTATTTCCTTTGTTAGGCTCTCATGAGTAGAGCTACTGTACATACTTGAATAGAGAATTTTTATGTGAGCATATGTTTGTTCTCATAAAGTGACCAAGAGTGCTATTGTTAGGCCATATGTTGATGTGGCTTAATTTTGAGAAATTCTAATATAAGGAAGAATTAAGAGCTTAGAAGCTATCAGCCTTCGGTCTTTCATTTCTGCTTAGCATCTGGAATAGATTGTTGGGTGATAGTGGTATTAAGTTTCTATAGAGTCCTGGCAGGGCAAGATATGCATGCACCTGAACGCTGTTATGCACACATGTGGTGTTAGCACTTAACATGACCTGAATCTGGAGATGGAATAGTGAAAGAGAGAGGAATTCAGATTGAGCAGATATGAGCAGCAGCACGGGCAGAGGCAGGCTGTGCAGGGTAGAGGTAGAGGCTCTGGATGGTGTGGGATTATTCTTTAGTGTCTGAGAGAGCTACTTGAGGCTAAAAGAGGACACTGAACAGCGAAGGTGACCTGTGTTGCTGACAAACCTAAGCACAGTGTTGAGGAGTTTGGGGAGTTTTTTTTTAATTGCCCGAAGGAAATAATGCACTGTTAAGAGTTCTAAGTGGTAGAGGTGCGTGCAGCATGGTAATAGTCAGGACATTTGATTAGATTAGTTCACAGAAAAGGCATTTGCTTATGTGTCTGGTGTATCCAAGATGACAGCCACATGCAGGGTTGAGGGGACTCTCATGCTGTCTTTACCACGAGCCCTGTCCCTTTCCCTTTTGTCTTCTAGTTTCTCACTATCTGTGTCCTCCGTTGGCCCTGGCCTTGGCTTTGCTCTCTCTGGGAGTGTCCCAGAGAGACCCAGGCACTGCAGTCCTTGGAGCTTGCATCACTCAGAAGAGTGGCTTTCGGGTGACAGTTTTGGCAGAAGGCCACAGGGAGGACTTTGATTGGCCAGTGTGGGCCATTCTCATGATAAAATTTTCAATTTGGAGCCAATCACATTATCCTCACCAGATGGACACAGATGGCCTGGAACCTGTGCCTATGTGTGGGCCGGAGAGCAGGGGTGAGGCTTAGTTTATGGAAGCCCATTCATTGTGCAGGATCACTGATGAGAAAACGAGGAATCCTTTCTTAGAGTAGTGATTCTTACTGTATTAATGAAGTGTGTCCAACAGAGCAGGAGCAAGATCAACTTCTAGCATGAGGTGAACAACATAAGAAAACATGGCACATGTATGTGATCATGGATAGGCCCTTGAAGATGGCAATAGGTGAGGCAGAGAATCCCCTATCTAGGGCTAAACCGAAGAACGGGGACTCTGTATCTAATATTTTACATAGAGAAACCACCAAGACGAGGAGGCTTCAATTAGAATTCAGAGATGTCAATGTGAGGCAACAGTACTGAAAACAAATTACAATGTTTTAGAAGACTGCTCATCTATAGAGATCCACTTTGGGCAAAAGAGATGTTCTGACAGGTGGCGGTTCTCATCGCTGCTCTCAGCAGCCCCCTGACAAGCCTGACACTGGCTTTTCCTTAGCCGTCCTAGGTATAGAGGAAAGTAATCATGACCATCTGAAGAAAGTCATGAAAGAGTAATAACTAGCAGCTGACAGTCACAAGGCTAGCTGCCTCTGCCAGGAGGACATTCCACATAGACTGGGGTATAAATGATCCTCCCAGGGGCAGAGCTGACCAGAGTGAAGTGTGATCTAATGCTGAGAATGGGGCCTCTGGGTCTCCCCATCAGTCAAAGGTACCTTGTCCTCCTGCAGTTGTCAGACCAGGGCACTAGGCCCGGGTTTGTCTCCTTTTTCTTGGTACCACTACAGGTCTGGGCCAGCCGTTGGTATAAATTCTCCTGTAGGCCACAAACCCTTCAGGGCTTACTGTGAACCACATCCTCACTCTCCTCTATTCTCAGCATTTTCATACCTAGCTACATGTAGATACACTGCTTTTATTTGTTCCAGTACACTGAATGGATTTTTGTTGCTACAGATAAACCAGACACTAATTTTAATCAGTAGTTCATGTTTTGTATTCTTACTTCACTGAGGGACTGTAGGTGGGATGGGGAATGAGAGCCAGCCTGTGGAGAATGCCTTTGTTTTGCTGATTAGTGTTCCTTAAGGGGGCTTGCTAGAATTCCTCATAGCCACTGCAGTGTCCACTGTACCTCATGCTGGTGTCCTGCCAAGAGCCACCCTGGTTACTGCCTACCAACAGGGGTCAGTGGTCTTTGAGTACTGAAAAAAACCCAGGAAGACTTTGAGATTTCCTGAGACAGAATGTATGTACTGTCCCTGCCGCCCTCCAAACTATTAAATGAGGATAAATATTTATAAATTTTCTTACACACAAACACACCAGCTATGTTCTTGTTCATTACATGTCTGTTTCTCTTCCTTTCTGTGCATGCCTATTTTTAAAATTAAGCTACAAAGGGGACAACTTGGGTCAGTTTTCTTCTACTATGTGGGAACTCATGTTGTCAGGCTTGGAGACAGGTGCAATACACTGAGCCATCTTACTGACCTCCAACCCCTTCAGTATTTTCTAAGTAATTCCTTTCTCCAGTTAAAAATTATGAGTAGTCATTGATGAAATTTCAGAAAAAATACAAAAAACATAAAGAAGAAAATAAGAATCCTTTAGGCCAGAGACAACACTGATTGACTTTTGAATCATAGGCTCCTTTAAACCATGTAGACCAACACATAGCAGGCAACTCAGTATAGCATAGTATTAATATGGCTACAACATGAGACACACATGCTGTTTAACAGGATGCATGCATATAACACTCGTGTCTGCTTCCCTATGCCAAGTCCTCCCGTGGCATTGCTCTTGTGGTGCATGTCAATCGGTCTCCTGCCCTAGTGCCATTCTTATGGGTGTGCTGTGAGGCAAGGAGCAGAGGCAAAGAGCATGCACTCTGGAAGCCAACACACTGCTTATCCTTTTCACTTTAGACAAACGGTTTCAATGGCCTGTTCTCCTGTCTACTGCTGCATATACTAGCCTGGCCTGCATAGAAACGGGAGGATGAGATGAGAAAGATGCAGGAGCGTTGCTGAGTCAGAGCCTGCACATTATGAAATGCTCATACGTCTTACTCCTTACAGTTTACCTTACAATGTTGAGTTGCTGGGGCAGGCTCGGAATATGGCTTCAGCCTCATTACCTACTGTTTCCAAGTTCACTGTCAGCCGGCATAAGGAGAGACCTATCTTCCCCTAACAGCCATGATCTGTAGTACTTGTTTTCTTGTATAAATAAAACATGTAAACGATGTGTTTTCCTCTTATTTAATATTCGTTGAATATTTTGAACATGTTTATGCTGCTGACAGAAGAAGTTTCTTGCCTGCTTTTGTTCTTAGTATTATTTTCCTAATTTCTGTTTTCACTGTTTGATGTAAGCTTTAAATATGGAAGCTGTTTTTACAGCATTTTTATAGAAATATTTATGTCCCAAGTTCTTTGTTTTCCCTTTTTTTTTTTTTTTG